GTGTTTCTACTGTTGGGTTCTTGACAATTTGGTAAAAAGGCCAACTATTGTCTTTCCTGTGGTTCTGAAGTTTACCCACATGTATGGTGGTGCACATTAAAGAAATATGTGAAATACATTTTTTATAGAAATATGACAATATTTATTTCACATATATAGGGATATCTGAAATATGCTCAAGAAATTAAAGTATCAACAAAGTGTCACTCAAGTGAAGAATTATGCACGAGATACTATGCTCAGTTCTGAGCTACAAGATCCAAAGAGCTGGGGGTGGTGGATCTGACCTCTAGAAACTTCCCATCCAGCTGAGGACGTGGAACATACACAGGGACTGGGAGACATGGCAGTTGAGGTAAGAGTGCTACAAGTAAGGAGAAGTCACTTTGTGGATCACTGGTTAGGAATCTCAAGGAAGGTTTGGGGCCACTAATCTCTACATAATGGCTAATTTCTCTCATTAAGGACATGTCATTTGCCCATACACTGATCCGTGCATCAATGACAAAAAATAATTTTAAAAAACGTAACAAATTTTCCTTACCAACTATATTAGTGTCCCATGGCCGCTGTAACAAATGACCACGAACTTGGTGGGTTAAAACAACAGAAATCTATTCTCTCACATTTCTGGATGCCAGAGTCCAAAACCAGTATCACTGGGCCTAGGTCAAGGTGTAGGCACTTCCTCCAGAGGCTCTAGGAGGAATCCAGTCCTTGTCTCTTCCAGCTTCTGGTGGCTGCTGTCATTCCTTAGCTTGTGGCCACATCACTCCAATCTCTGTCTCTGTGGTCACACTGCCTTCTCTTTGTGTGTCAAATCTCCCTCTGCTTCTCTTATAAAGACTGGTGTTTGCTTTTAGGGCCCACCCAGATTATCCAAGTTAATCTTCCCATCTCAGATTCCTTAATTTAATCACCCCTGCAAAGTCTATTTTGCCACACACGATCACACTCACAGGGACCAGGGACTAGGACCTGATATCTTTTGGGGATGTTATTTAGCCTACCACTCTCCAAAGAAACCTCCCAAAGACTTTCATACAATCATCTGAGTTATAGCAGCAGGGGGTTTCATCCATTCAAAATTCAGTATTTTCGGAATAAAATAAGAAGTCTATGCTTACTTACCCAATGAACATTCCTTTTTGAAATATAGAAAACATTTCTCTTCAGCTTTGCACAGTGGATAAGACTTCACAATTTTGGCTGAAATCTGAGTATATGACATTAGCATATAGAGATTCCACATTGTGTGGACCAGAGGTTGCAAACCAGCAGCCTGGGGACTGAATTCAGGGGTATGTTTTGAGTCTATACTTCAACACAGGATCTTTCATATAAAAATCCAGATTTGGGACTTCTCTGGGAAAACCAAAGAGCTAGCCACATGGGATCCTTAGCCCACCATGGTAATAAAAAGATAGAAAAGGGTTGTCACCCTCCCTTTAGACTGAGCATGGGCTCGTCGGCTCATCACAATCTCCATTCTCCCTATTGTCCCTAAAATGGTTT